CTAAGATGGGCCTATCCTGGAGTTGTACCATCTTGTAACATGTTGGCTGTTACATTTTGGATTTGAGAAGGACATTTTTACCAGGTTAAGAAAGGCTTCTACTTCTCCGTACAAGTATTGAATTTTGCCAAATACTCTTCCAGCTTCCCTTGAAGCATTTGTTGTTTTTACTTAACTGTAGGTATGAGTATCTGACTAATATAGTTTTTCATAGTCTCTCATGGGTATCAAGCCAATCATTAGTATGGTATGGATCATTTTCTGTCTTTTCTCAAGAGCAAAAGGTGTCACAAAAATGCCATCAGACCTCAGTGATCCCACAAGATCTTCCTCCCTGTCATGGATGAGAAAACTGACTTGGCCAAGATATAGTGACTGACAGGTCCAACTCAGACGTCCTCTCTTCGTATTGATGATGACCTTGCACTGAACAGGCATGGTGAACTAGGAGGGAGAGTGTTACGATACTTTCCCAATCCTGACCTTTGCCTGGGATGAGGATATTAAATGAAAAGCTGCAGCCTGGGTTCTGGCCAGGGAACATGCCTGGCAGAGTCAGCTTCCTACAGGGTGAGCAGGTGTCAAAGGCAATAAGGTCTGGAGTTAAAGTTCCTGGGGAAGGTCCCTGTCCCCTCACAGTGAGCTCCTTCCTGCCAGCCTGGAGAAGTGGATCAGGCTGACCCTGACCAGGTAAGAACCATACTTCTGGGTCTGAGGATCCAGGCTGGTGTGGTTTCGGTGAGGGGTGTGTGTGTGTGTGTGTGTGTGTGTGTGTGTGTGTGTGTGTGTTGCAGTGCATGGGGAGGCACAGCAAGAAAACATAGCGCTGCTGGCTGGGGCTGTCCGGTGGTCATGGCATCTGACTGCACTCATCTTGGTCTTCTCTCCCAGCCTGTTGTTTGTGCTTCTCTCTCATTGTCATCTCCTCTCCCATCCCTCATCTCATCGGAGAGCTCTTTTACCCCCAAATTTTCAGGCTCACTCAGAATCAAAGTGCAAAGCTCCCATCACTCTCTGTGATCAGTGTGTACTTGGGGGTTGTTCAGGAAGCCCAGGTACTCGTTGGTCCTGGCTCTGCCTGTGGTCACTTTTGCCACAGGGCCTGGGATAGGACTGGCCACACTGAATGGATAAACCAAATCCATTGAAAGCAGCCTCGATTCTCTTAGCTAAGCATCCTTACCCAGTGGGAATTTTTTTTTCCTTCAATAAGCCATCTGTCATTTATTCAATACTTGTGTGGCAAGTACACGTTAGGGACCAGGGACACAATAAGAATCAGACACAATACGTCACCCAAGAAGCTCTCTGGATCATGGAGGACACAGCACCAGGTGTGGACAACTCCATGTAATGAGTGCTGTATTAAGACTGAAGGGTGTGTTGGGGGTAGGCTTCCCTGAGGAGGGGACTTTGGAGCTTTGAGTGTGGAAGGTCAGGAGATAGACAAGTTGGGATGGGGATGTGTGCTAGGCAGCTTGGGCTGCAATAAGAAATTACAGACTTGAGGATTTGAACAACAGAAATGTGGTTCTCACAGCTCAGGAGGTGGGAATTCAGAGATCGAGTGCCAGCCTGCTCAGGTTCTGAGGAGGGTTCACTTCCTGGCTGGCAAGTGGCCCCCTTTTTGCTGTGCCCTCACCTAGTGGTGGAGGTGGGGAGCAAGCTCCCTGGTGTCTCTTCTTAATAAAGCCACTAATTCCATCCTGGGGGCCCCATCCTCATGACCCACTTTACTCCCAAGAACCCAAGATTGAGCTTAGGTCTCAATCTATGAATGAGGGGAGCATAATTCAGTCATAGCAGGATGTGTATTGTGGGGAATGAAGCAGGGTCTTTCAGGCTGAAGGAAAGCCTGGACAAAGGAAAGGATACAAGCACCACCAGAGCCTGTCGGGAACCAGAGGCAACTCAATATGGCGGGAATACAAGAGCACTGTTGGTGACAGTGAGAGATGAGGCTGAGGACCCAAGGACCTATTCCTCCTCAAACTAACGGCCTCCAAATCACCTGGCACGCTTATTGGAAAACAGATTCCTGGGCTTTCCTCCACCCTATGGAACTGGAATCTCCATGAGTGAGACCTTGGGATCAGCCTTAAGCAGCACCCCAGAGAGTTTACACAGGAACTGGGCAGTCTCCAGCCTGGAATTCTGAGGGAGCCCAGGGAGGGTTTCAAGCAGGGACAAAGCAGGTGCATGGTTGACCCGCCCTGACTTCTCTTGTCCCTCTGTTGAAAGAATGAATGGGGGCTGATGAAGGCCCTGGAGCCGTGAATAATGGCTGCCCAGCCTTCTTGTTCTCATGGCAACACGTGCCCATGGCTAAGGTGAGTGATGGTGGAACTCAGGTTTTCCGTTGGACAAACTCCTTTATGCTGTACAGTAGAGGCATGGCAGAGATGTCCCTGCCACCCCATTCCTACCCCATCTGGGCCCTTACTGCATGACCTCGAAGGCCATCTCTCTCATCTCTCCCTTCATCCTATGTGGGGCCTGAATTCACCCGCCACACTGCTCCTCCTAGCTCAGGCTGAGTGTTCAGGCATGTTGGGGGAGGCGGGGAGGAGGGGAGGCTGTGCTTTATCTGAGGCTTCTCAGGATGGTGGCCTTCCTTGATCATTCAGATGAAGGAAGAGGGCACAGGGTCACTATTTGCCATGTGTTTTTTCTTCTAGATTTCTCTCCAAAAGATAGTAACAAAACAGTCTGATCTACAAGGAAATAAAGTAGCCCCAGCCCAGAGTGCACCAAGCTTAAGGCGAGGGGGTGGACTAGACCACCCTCCAGGGCTCCCACTTCACAGGACTCTGGCGACCAAGCTTCTCAACCTGAAGAGTCCCTGAGGCCTCAACCAGGCCCCCACCAGCCCTGCCCCACAGTCTCATCCTGTCCTTTCTGGGCATTTTCTGGTTTCATTTTTATCAGGCCTGCATACCTCCATGTTGGTGCACATGCTAATCTCTGCTTGAAATGCCTTCTCCCACCCCTCTCTTCCCCTCTCTCTGCTCATTGAGACCCAGTTCTCCCTGACCTCCATCCCACCCAGCATACCCTTCCCACCTCAATCTAGCTGTTCCTGAGAGTTACCTGTGCTAACCCGAGTGGGAGCGCTTACACTTACTCTGCCCCGGCCCTTGCCTTGCTCAATTTGACCAGAATTCCAGGGCAGGGTCTGTGGTGCTACAGGTTGTTCCCCAGTCCCTGACACAGGAGGAGTTCCACAAATGTCTGCTGAACCAAGCAGAATACAGATGAATCAGAAATGCCCTCTGAATGTGGATGCCATGATAATCTGATAGCATCCTACAAAGCTTATTGGTATCTTTAGGAGGAGTGACTTTTATAGCCTCTGAGTAGATGTGATACCCCATCCCTCTCCTTGTAAAATAACAAATTTAATGAGTAAACCAAAGGTGATTATTTGCATCCCCAAAGGTGGGGGGGGGGCAGGTTTCCTTTAAACATTAAACCTTCACTGGAATTTTCAGAAATTCCTTACAGATCATTAACTTCTAGGGGAGGGTGGGAGCAGGGGTCATGGAGAAATTACCTTTTGGAGTCTGAGTTCAGAGAAGCCTCTCTGAAAATCTTGGAAGCAGGCAAAACTGGGTCCAGATTCTCTCTCTGTTAGCTGTGTGGATTTGGGTAAGTCCCTCAATCTCTCTGTGTCCCAGGTTTCCTTATCCCTAAAATGGAGACCCATTACTCTTATTTTACAAGGTTATTGTAAAGATTTAGAAGAACCTCTATGAAGTGCCTTCGCTTATAGGAGGTTCCCAGTAATAGTAACAGCAATGTTGTTAGGTCTGACATTGCCTGTAGAAGAAAAGAAGGGGTCTCGTGTGGTGTGCAGGATTTGACCACTGGACTACAAGAATAAGGAAAAATCAAAGAATCCAGAAAGGACGGGCCAGAGCACTGGGCAGCATGTTTTTAGAATCACAACCCTTCATGTTTTTTTTCACAAATTCTTTGATTTTTTTTTTTTAACTCTGTCTTTCCATGTTGAACTTGTGGATACTGGTGACAGTGCTGTACAGTGTGTTGTCTGAGGGTTTTGAACTCTAGAAGACCTGCCACTTACTGGTCCTATGTCCTTGGACACTCAACTAGACTCAGTTTTCTTATCTGAAGAAAGGGAGACCACAGTACTTAAGATTGCAATGGGATTAAAATGCTTAGCCATACATTTGGTGCAAGGTACACCATCCACAGATGGTACCATAACTATATTGTGATAGGATCAATACTAATAAACAGAGCAGTAAATGCCCAGTTTGAGGAACCACTAGCTCTAGAAACATGGAGGAATGGTCACAGACCCTGAAGACTACCCATAACAGAGCTATGTGACCCTGGCTCTGTTCCTTTACAATAGAGGGTTTACCCTGGATAATCTCTTAGGTTCCTAAATTGGCCCCAGGCCAAGTAACTGTAAACTACTGGCAGTTCCCCAATGGTGGCTGTCAGCCCTGGGTGCCTCTGCCTGCCCAGCTGCCCCTCCCCACCTTCTTCAGGGAAATCCTCCTTACCCGAGGCCAGCCCCTCTGGGAACCTCCCCTTCCATGCTCTGCTCATGCACTTGACACTGCCATGGCCTTTCCTGTTGCTATACCTGCCATTGAGAGGTGACTCAGTTCACAGGTTCAAGTACTCCATTCCTGAGAGTGAAGCTTTTTACGAAAGGAAAGATGGATGAAGGAACACTTCCTTTTCTGTAGAGATTTCTGGAATCTCCTGGATCCTCTCTTACTGTTTCTGTCTTCTGTGGAAAAATAGGTCCCGTAATAGTTTAGACTCGGTCACCTCCTTCCAGGAGAGAGAAAGAAGTCCATCGCAAGTTTGGATCACAGCTGTAGGCTAAGTCCTTTGCTGCTCCTTTCTCCCAGGTATGGAGAAAGTGACAAGTCTGTTCACGAGTCCCCAGGATCCTGAAAACCGATCCCTGCCCAAAGCAGCGGGCAACGCAGGTACCAGTTCTCGCCTTGGCAGATCGGACCAGCAAATCCACGTCCCCAGCGGGTTACTCTAGCTCCTCTACAAGGCGGGAGACAATGACCTTGACCTCGGAGGAAAGGGCGCCCTAAGACCACGGAGATGGCCCCACCGAGAGGTCAGCCAAAAAGTTGTCTACACAAAAGGCATTCCTGGGCGTCCACCCGGCGCAGAGCCTGGTGTAGAGTTACAGGCGGCTGCGGAGTGCAGGAGCGTGTCGCTCCTCCGCTCCGGCCCGCGTCGAGCCGCGTCCCCAGCCTCGCGCTGGGGGACCCAGCGCCCCGAGCGCGCCTCCGGCTCGGGACCGCCGTTCCCTCCGAGCAGAGGTCCGGTCGGGTGCCCTGGCCCTGCGGCCC